CCGGTTTTTTTTTATTATATAGATTCAGATTTAAGTTGTAAGATGCTCGCAATAATATTATACATTTAAAGTTGGTATTTAAAATATGTTGTGCATCTCAACATTTTTTTTGCAAATTTCAATAGCGCGTTATCGCATTGTACTGTGCTATCACCCTTAAGTGAATATCCCCACTAAAAGTAGTCGCAAGTCGCAATACGCTTAGCGCGCAGCGTCGAACAACTCAATGTTTGAATGTTTTCAAACATACCCACATTTAAAATGCTAGTTGGTAATAATGTATTTAATTGTAATGAATTGTATTTGTGTTTTCTCTATAAGTGGATTTTGTAAATTCTTTTGAGAAAATAAATGTCTTTAACCGTAAAGTCGTGTTACTTACTCCACTTATAACTCAAGAACGGCTGAACCGATTTAGCTGAAAATTGTCAGGGAGGTAGTTTAGAGCCAGGAGAAGGACATAGGATACTTTTTATCCCGTTATTTATTGCCATTAAGGCGGAACAAAGTTCGCCGGGTCAGCTAGTATCTATATACAGTGTGTCCGGGCATGTAGTGATCAAACTTTAAAGGCGTAATCTATGAACAATTTTATCGATGAAAATACTTCAAATTTGGGGCTTGACCCATTTCTCGAAAAATTACATCGATTTAAGTTTTTAATTTTTAGTTTACACCTCTTCTTTAAAAAACAAGTGAAAGCGTGGGTAGCTTAACATTAATAGGCAAATATTTTATATCATACGATAGCCAATAAAATTATCTATTAGTAGAAGAAGAAAACATAAACAAATTTCATACATTTTATGGGAGTAAGAATGGATTGAATTAGAAAAATACATTACTTTTTTCACTTCTTTTTCAGCTATTTTCCAACACAAGAAAAACCAGGTCGTTAAGGTATGTTTTATTTGCATTGTATTATTAGTATTTGAGTTATTCTACAAAACGAATGTAAATTTATTAGTCTACGTCTATTAGTTTCGACGTAATTGTTGAACAAAGATACCCCTTCCCAGCGGTTTCCATAGCGCACGCGACATGCGAAAATGCACTGTCTGAAAGAATCACACAACCTATTCCGATTACTATGGAAACCGTTGGGAAGGGGTATCTTTGTTCAACAATTACGTCGAAACTAATAGACGTAGACTAATTAATTTACATTCGTTTTGTAGAATAGCTCAAATACTAACTGTATATAAAAGAAAGTCGTGTTAGTTACTTCGCTTATAACTCAAGAACGGCTGAACCGATTTAGCTGAAAATTGTCAGGGAGGTAGTTTAGAGCCAGGAGAAGGACATAGGATACTTTTTATCCCGTTCGAAATTAAAAAAAAGTCTGCTTATTTATTGCCATTAAGGCGGAACAAAGTTCGCCGGGTCAGCTAGTTATACATAGAAAACACCCAGACCCGTCACAGAAATTAAAATTCATCATTTCAACTTCTGCTCGGCCGGGAATCGAACCCGGGACCTCTCGGCATAGTAGTCCGTTCTGAACCACTACACCAAACGGCCGACTTTTAAAGTGACGTTTAGTATGGAAATGTCATTTTGAAACACTGTTCAACAACTGTGTAACATTTTACTAGTAAGGGGGGATATCATTCTCGGTAATGCTATGAGCCTCGATGCCTATTTTCATAAAAATTTAAACTGCATCACTGTTCTGAGAAATCAACGGCGGAACGGATTGTATATTACACTTTGATTATTTGTTTAATCCGGTCGATGTAGGTCAATGTGTACAAGATTCAATAAGCAGTGCGGAACGTCCCTAACCTTGAAAGCAATATTACGTACTGATTAGCAATTAATATTATATTAATTCTAATGTCTTAAAGCAATGAAAATGTATTATCATTATACATATGGAGTGTTCCCTTATAAATAAGACATAAGATTTATTTATTATCTTAAAATGAACTGTAAGGTCCAGTTTCCACCAAAACATAGGGCACAGATGTGTTTGAATAACGAATCAAATTTCGTTACTTCCACATCACCTATCCGCTCAGCTTCGGTTCGAAAACCTGTCTGGGTATCAAAAACATCTCCTTTCCTCTACGCTTTGGTAGAAACCGGGCCTTATAAAAATATGTTTCTGTTCTGCCCGTGTTTGTTTTGATAGAAATTATGAATGAAATTTAATTTTCAGAACAAAGGCACCGATTCGATAACAGAGGGAGTGACCATCGCAGCGACGTCGCAGAAAATGCAGGCCGACATGGAGTCGTACGAGAAAACCTTCTGGCCGTATCTCATCAAAATATTGCAGGTATAACATATTTGACGAAATAATTATTTATACTTGTCAAAGTCAAAGTCAAAATTTCTTTGTTTAGACTAAAAATAGTTCTTACAAATCGCCATTTTGCTCTTAAGGAGCCTCTACATGTCTCATAATCTTTTTACCCTACCAGCGCTTGTGCAATTGAATTTGAGGTCACGGTAATTATCAACACTACGATAACTTATTATTTATTTAATTAATGGACTAATACCTAGTTCATACTATTACCGTAATAGCACAGAATAATAAATAAGTACTACGTACAGAAGTTTTACTTCGCGAAGGTATTTAAAAAAATATATGCTCAATGTTATTAACAATATGGTGTAATTTAGCCTGTCTCAAGAGTCAAGCACCATTTTGTTGACAAACGTCAGTGATCGGCACTGCGCCGAAGCTATAGGGCTGACTTCGGTAAAATGATGTGACGTGAGGTGCCAAACTGCGGAAAATGGCGGAGGAAATACATGATTTAGCATGAATTATCATGAATAATATTAACTACTTATTTACCTCTCAGTGTCTTGAGGCAACTTAAAATAGTATATTCTGTGTTTTTATTATTATTTAGGCAGTTAAATACTGCACAGTATTTAGTACACCATTTTCTTTATTTTCTTCCATCATACACAAGAATACGCGTGCGTGAGTCAATGTTCGCTCGTATGTGAGGCCTTGTCGAATAGTATCCTGTAGGTGGGCCATCGTGCGTGTTTCGTTTTCGATGTAAACTCGCGGAGATGAACAGGCCTGGTAATAGTCAGAAGCTAAGTCATACAGATGACCCATTTAACATGTCTATTAATTATTATTTATTAACAAAATAAGAATAACATGTCAATATCATATATGGTTAGTCTTTATGAGAGCTACATAAGGAGCGGAATGTATGCAAATATGCAATGGACCATTGTTTTGCCAATGCCCACCAGTATTATAATAGGAATGTAATAGGGCTTCCAATTACCAGACAACAACAGACTATAAAGGTGCAGTTACACATGCTCATTGATTATCATGTTTATTAGCATTCTTAAAACAAGCGTGCTCTTCAAACTAACACATTTGCTTTTTTTAGCATGCGGATTCTATAAGCATGCATTGGTCCGATTAAGCAAACCTATTTAGACCTCGCGCCCTTCCATCCGCGCTTCAGGTAGCATGCTCAAAGATTTCACGACAGTCGATTTTAGAGCAGACTTGCAATGAACATGCTTATTATTAGCAATGTCTCTATACACATGCTATTGAGCAGCAATAGTTCTATAGTGACATGTTTACGTGCTAGAAATGAGCATGGTAACTGTACCTTAAAATTAATGCTCGGATCCATGACAGACGCACGACATGTCGCTAAAGCAGACCTCAGAAGTTGGCGTCATGTGTCAGATTGAGCCCACGCCGCACGACCGGACCAAGAGCAAAAAGAAGAGAAAAGCTAACGTGTGTTTTGTGTAACTTATGATGTTTTATAGTTGAGTTGTAGCCGGTAATTTGTAATTGTTAGCTGTTGAAATACCTATTTAATATTGGTATCGGAAATAGTTGATCAGTAAAGTAACTAAATTAGTATCTTCATGCATTCGTTACATTCTTATAACTAGCTATACATACATAGAACAACATAAGTGGGTAAACTTCATTAAACTAAACTCGGCGTCACAAAAATCTTCCGTAGCCGTATATTCGTCGCAGCAATATTGCAGAATATTTTTTCATTGCTGCTATAGAGCTCTAAACTGTTTTCTATCGATCACAGGCCTACTCTAAGTACAGTCACGGAATGAAAAGGTTCGTCAGTTTTCAAATTGATTCCTTCAACGAATCGCGAGCACATATTACCTTTTGAAACTATGTTACAGAATAATCTCTAGTTAGAGAAAATAATCTTTAACTGTTCCTCAGTAAAGTTCAAAATTATTCAGATCGAAGTTGTTTGACGATTTATCTTGTCAAGAAGATTATTATGATTGATAAACTAAAACCTGCTTGTTGGTTCAACCTGCCAGTATTAATTCTATTAAAAAAAAACTACATTTTGTAACATTGCACTGATGGGATAGAAAAATAAACAAGTAAAACCTTATTCGTTAGCAAACGTCATATTTATTTAAATGTTAGCAGCACTGTTTCTTGCACTGTAATGTTGGCAGGTTTGACTCTTACAGTACCTAGTGCAAGCGAAAACCGACACTAAGGTGACGAACCTTTTCATTCCGCGACTGTACATGGGATGTTCTGAATTCCGATCGGCAAGTGTCATACTGTCGACCGTTTCCAATAACTCCGTTAGAGTTGTTGGTGTGAATCAAATCGATTGGTACCGTTGATATTAGAAACATATACAACCATTGTAAAATGTTAGAATACATTACCTAACTTTATCCTATAGTTCTTGCAGCTCTCGAAGGTGAGTGAGCTTTACTTGTGTGTGTACGTGTACATGCACTTATCGATAGTGTAATGTCATGTAATGTCTGTTAAAACTTTTAAAAAACTAACACTAGTAGCCACCACACATGTAAAGCTCACTCCTCTTCGTGAATTGCAACAACTATAGTCTGGTCTGCGAGCACGTAGAATTTTGTCCAACGACCCCAAGCTACCCATCCTTATCGCTCGCGCGTAATTATATTGCTGTCGCGACTGTGCGACGCGCGCCCGCAGTGAGTGCGCGAGCGCGACAGCAACATAATTACGCGCGAGCGATAAGGGCTCAGAGACCAGACTATATTATACCTAAAAACTTACTATGAAAACAGGAATACAACGTAAACTAATGCTCCCAGCAGGCCAAGTCTCCATCCACAACGTGTCAATGCCGCATGCTGCCGGCTGAAGTCACGTGGGTGAACACGCTGCTGGCTCGCCTCATGTATGACGTCATGCGCGACCCGCTCATCATCGCCCGGCTGCAGAACAGGATACAGAGAAAACTGAATACGCTAAAGGTAAGGATGGTACTACGTCAAATGTGTAGGATATCGTTATTAGTCATTCACGTTAGTCTCTGAAATCTTTGAACACGATTCTCGTGCACTTTCCTCCAACCGTATACTTATAAAACGCGGCTTTCTTATAGATTTTTGTATGGCTAAGATATTATTATGCTTTTATGTCACAAAATTTATATGGTAAATTCAAAACTAGATGTGATTGATGTTACGAAGCACAAACTTGGAAATTAAGGGTTTATGGTGTCCAATTTTATATTTATCATAGCTTGTTCTTTGCTTTAGGATGCGCGCCGCCATAAGCGTTTATCACCATTATATCGATTTTTATCGATAAGCTCATACATTTTGTCGTTTAAAATCGTCGATAAGAATTTATCACGCACGGTGCGCATCCAGGCTGGAGAATTTAATTGATCAGATAGCGAAAGATGGTAGATAGTTTTTTAAATTGTATCCCGATACATACACTATCGTTCCACCACAATCAATTTGATGCTCTTCCCCCAGCTGCCATCCTTCATGAGTCCTTTAGTCGTCACCGAGCTGTCCCTGAGCGGGGCGTGTCCCCTCGTGGAGCGGGTGGCGGCGCCCGCGTGGGACGAGCGCGGCGTGTGGCTCGACGCGGACCTGCGCTACGACGGCGGCGCCTACATCGCGCTGCAGACGCAGCTCAACCTCATGAAGCTGAAGGAGAAGAGTGAGTGTCCCACCAGCTGCCGTCATGAGTCCCCAGTAGTCCCCGAGCTGTCCCTGAGCGGGGCGTGTCCCCTCGTGGAGCTTCGTACATGAACCTGATGAAGCTCAAGAAGAAAGTAAGTAACTATACTAAAGACCGGTCGCCGAGCAGATAGAATTTCGTCCAATGACCCCAAGCTACCCATCCTTATCGCTCGCACACTCACACTGAAATGCAATAAAGTATTAAGTATTGCTCGGCGACCGGACTTTAGTTACCCTAAAAGCTGCTATCTCGGGTAGAAAGAGTGCGTTTTTCCGTGCGTACTTGTGACTTGTGGTATGATGGAAGCGCTTACATCTCACTGCAGACGCAGCTCAACCTAACGAAGCTGAAGAAGAAAAGTAAGGGTTTAGCTATCTACTGGACTGGAAAATATACCTGTATCTTAGTAGCCAGTGATCCTTCTACTAAGATGTATAATACGATGCAGACTTGGTCCTTTTGACAAGTCTTTAAAACAGCGGTATATAAAAAAGGGCGTTTTTCCCTCACTTGTGACTCTTGTGGTATGATGGAAGCGCCTACATCTCGCTACAAACGGAGTTGTACCTGATTAAGCTCAAGGAGATAAGTAAAAGCTTATCTACATGCTAAAAAAAGTATTAAGTTTCCACAAATTTAGATAGATATTGATAGAATAAGTCTCCGCTTGAGACGGAGTGCGAAATGTGGTTTGATACAGATTGCCAGATGCACTGTCATCGCGCATTAATTTCATCTGAAATTGAAAGAAAAATGTAAGCGAAATACCTGCTCATTGTCTTTTTTTATTTTCAGATGTAACGTTAGAAGATCAGTTATTATCGTCTGAAAATCTCATCGAAAATGAAATGAAAACCACCGGCACGGGAGTGTTCACAGAAAAACAGTTACGGGTAAGTACCAGCCGTATAAAATACAAAATAAGGCCCAGCTTGGGGACTCAAAATCGCTGTAGTGTAATTAACACGTAGTGGCGATATTGTGTGTATTAAATGATAATACCTTATCACGTTATTTTGAATCGTATTCCCTTGTCTTAAGATCCAAATAAAATTTTGTTTGTAGAAACGCAAGCCAGCGATATACGACTCGGAAGTAGAGGACTCGGCCGAGTCAAGCAGCGACGACGAAAGCCCGCCCGTACAGCCCGTTGACAGCACGCAAAACATTCTCGTGCCAGAATCCTCGTACGTATTTGTGTGACGATAATGGCGCGCGCGCGCCTTTGACTTTTGTCACAGTGACGATATATGTGTCCATTAATAATAAGAATAAATTAAATATGACCTACACAGAACTGTCTTACCAAACTCATTCACAGAGGGGCGCCACCATCGTTCAACTACAACTACATAGTTTCCAACATGACAAAAGTCGGAACCATCGATCCGGCATTGACGGTGGCACCCCCCTGTCAATGTCACGGGTAGGACAATTCAGTTTATTTGGGTCTATACCACGTTGTCTGTCACGATGACAAAGTCACCCGTGCGCGCATAGGTCTCATTCAGACGGACGTATTGTGAGCATGCTTACGTCTACATTCGTTTGTTTATTCCAATATATTCTAACTAGCTTTTGCCCGCGGCTTCACCCGCGTGAAATTTAGTTTGTCACTGTTATACTGTAAAGTTTCATCAAAATCCGTTCAGTAGTTTTTGCGTGAAAGAGCAACAAACATCCAGACATCCAAACTTTCGCATTTATAATATTAGTAGGATATGTATGGAAAAGCTATTAACTGCTCAACGCATGCTCACAGTCGGCGGCGGACTATACGTTAGTGTGAACGAGGCCTAAGGCTTGAACTAATCTTACACTAATATCAGTCCACCCACAAGGTGGATAGATGACATAATACTCGCTGTTTCTGAAATGATGATTGTTATTATCTTATATTCCAGGTCTACCAGTCCTGACCCGGCTGTTTCATCCAAAAAGAAGTTCCTAAAAATGGTTGACAAAATAGCAACAAATAAATACTTCCAGCAGGTAATTTAAATTGCTTTTTGAATAAAGAACCATCCAAAAATCTATTACAGAAGCTTGAAGCTAAAATTAAGTTTTAAAACACTTATTTTATTGTACAGGTAACAGACTACAAATACGTGAAGCGTGCGATGGAAGGCCTATCAAATACAGATATAAAACTGCACTTGGAAATACACGGGCTCGAAGGAAGGCTCGCATTCAATCTGCCGCCTCCGCCACACGATCGCGTATGGATAGGGTAAGAACATGACGTAACATTTTACTTAAAAAACTTGTTATCTTTGATCCAAATCTAAGTTTTCTGATAGAAATAAATAGCAGCACAAACTTTAACCTCTCGTACCTAAAGACATGTGTTACGAGTTACTGTTAAAAACGAGAATGGCCTCAAATCTTTTTTGTGTGGGAAGTAATAAAATAATCCAAACAGTCAAGTGCCTAACTAGATCTATCGGTCAACCCATTAAGGTACCCAGATAGAATGCTCCATATCAGACTTGGAGTTTGGGCTATTATTATGCAAAAAGGACAGTGCCAATCCATGTATGGAAGTTGGACCAAGTGCTGCCCAGAATGAAACCATAGTGCATTTTGTTCCTCAGGCCAATACTAATTAATAAACCGGAGCGCACTGAAATCTATCCCTGGAGTTAAGAGAAAAAAAGGGTTTTGTTTTGAATTATTTACATACAAAATATCATCGATGTATACGTACTAAGCATAAGATTTCGCGATTGTGGCATTAAATAACACGCGATATGTTGAACTTAACCATACTGCATCCGTACACCTTACTTTAGTACGACTTCGACATTCTTTATAAGCGATCAAGCGCTGTTGCAGTAGTTTGGTTACTTGACAGAAATTAATTATTTCCAAAATGGAGCAAGAAGTTTTAGCTTAATAACTCCAATAATCGATTGTAATACACCAATAAATTGATTTTTTGCAATGATATGGAACTACTTCTTGCTTCATTTTTGGAAATAATGAATTTCTATCAACTTGCCAAACAATTTTAAAACAGCGCTAGATCGTTTATAAAGAATGTCTAAATCGCACTAAAGTAACGTGTACTGATGCAGTATGGTTAAGTTCAACATAGCGAGTGTTATTTAATGCCAAAATCGCGAAATCTTATGCGTAGTACGTATACATCGATGATATTTTGTATGTAAATAATTCGAAACAAAACTCTTTTTTTCTCTTAACTCCAGGGATAGATTTCAGTGCGCTTCGGTTTACACATTAGTATAGGCCTGAGGAACAAAGTGCACTATGGGTTGATTCTGGGCAACACTTGGTCCAGACCCTGGCACTGTCCTTTATGCATAAACCTTGTTTCATATGCACTGAGTCTCTATACAGGGTGTGGTTTTGTAAAACTACGCCCATCTCAGGGGCACACATGAATAACTTTCGAGACGGCGCTTGTTACCGCCCGCATCACCCCCGCGTGCCCCGCTACACCACCGAGCACATGCGGCCGCCTCCCCGAGAGTGCAGGGGGACTGACCGATAGCTCGCCCGCGTAATAATACCATTTTCATGATTGTCATGGATTTATCCATGAATTAATTTTTTGTGGCATCAGTGTCATGTATACTACCACCTCTGAAATGAGCGTTAACCACACAGTGTGTATAATAATTTGAACATTGTGTCGTAGGTTCCGCACAAACCCGCAACTAGTGCTAAAGGCGCGGCCGGCGCTCGGTGCGCGGACGCTTCGATTCGCGCACATCTCTAACTGGATCGAACAGAAGCTCAGCAAGGAGTTCGAAAAGGTTCTAGTGCTTCCCAACATGGAGGACATACTGATTGACGTCATGACCCCCACGCCTGTGGACTACGAGTAGGATATGACTAGGTACGTAGATTTTGATTGAACAGTTTCTAGAGCCCGCTGGAAAGAACCTTGCGGGACCCAAGTAACCTGCTAGCAATCGTCCTCAATATATGACTACTGCTCATCTCTATCTACTGTAAGGTATATTGACCGTGAAAGAAGGCTAGTATGGGNGGATATGACTAGGTACGTAGATTTTGAGCCTTTTGTAGCGTCCTGCTGGACCAACATAACCTGCCAGCACCCATCCCTAACATCTGACTCATAACATGCTGCTCACCCCCCCTAGAATAGGTATATAAAGCGGTGTTACCTACTTCTTCGTAAATATAAGGCTAATAGCTGGAAGATCAGCAAGGAGTTTGAGAAAGCTCTCATGCTGCCCAATATAAAGGATATGACTAGGTATGTCGATTTTGATTGAACAGTTTCTAGAGCCCGCTGGAAAGAACCCTGCTGGAACCAAGTAACCTGTCAGCAATGATCCCCAATATATGACTACTGTTCATCTCTACTATAAAAGGTATATGGACCATGAAAGAAGGCTAGTATGGGACACTAGTAGTCCTATCATTCAAAACTCACTCTTATTGAATGTTATCTATAAGAGTGACTTCAAAAGTTAATCGTGGAGAAGCTCGCAAGGAGTTCGAGAAGGTTCTAGTGCTGCCCAACATGGAGGACATACTGATTGACGTCATGACCCCCACGCCTGTGGACTACGAGTAGGATATGACTAGGTACGTAGATTTTGAGCCATTTGTAGCGTCCTGCTGGACCAACATAACCTGCCAGCACCCATCCTTAACATCTGACTCATAACATGCTGCTCACCCCCCTAGAATAGGTATATAAAGCGGTGTTACCTACTTCTTCGTAAATATAAGGCTAATAGCTGGAAGATCAGCAAGGAGTTTGAGAAAGCTCTCATGCTGCCCAATATAAAGGATATGACTAGGTATGTCGATTTTGATTGAACAGTTTCTAGAGCCCGCTGGAAAGAACCCTGCTGGAACCAAGTAACCTGTCAGCAATGATCCCCAATATATGACTACTGCTCATCTCTACTATAAAAGGTATATGGACCATGAAAGAAGGCTAGTATGGGACACTAGTAGTCCTATCATTCAAAACTCACTCTTATTGAATGTTATCTATAAGAGTGACTTCAAAAGTTAATCGTGGAGAAGCTCGCAAGGAGTTCGAGAAGGTTCTAGTGCTGCCCAACATGGAGGACATACTGATTGACGTCATGACCCCCACGCCTGTGGACTACGAGTAGGATATGACTAGGTACGTAGATTTTGAGCCTTTTGTAGCGTCCTGCTGAACCAACATAACCTGCCAGCATCCATCCCTAACATCTGACTCATAACATGCTGCTCATCCTCCCTAGAATTGGTATATAAAGCGGTGTTACCTACTTCTTCGTAAATATAAGGCTAATAGCTGGAAGATCAGCAAGGAGTTTGAGAAAGCTCTCATGCTGCCCAATATAAAGGATATGACTAGGTATGTCGATTTTGATTGAAGAGTTTCTAGAGCCCGCTGGAAAGAACCCTGCTGGAACCAAGTAACCTGTCTGCAATGATCCCCAATATATGACTACTGCTCATCTCTACTATAAAAGGTATACATATGGACCATGAAAGAAGACTAGTATGCGACACTAGTAGCAAGTTCTATCATTCAAAAGTCACTCTTATTGAATGTTATCTATAAGAGTGACTTCAAAAGTTGATCGGGGAGAAGCTCGCAAGGAGTTCGAAAAGTTCTGGTGCTGCCCAACATGGAGGACATACTGATTGACGTCATGACCCCCACGCCTGTGGACTACGAGTAGGATATGACTAGGTACGTAGATTTTGAGCCTTTTGTAGCGTCCTGCTGAACCAACATAACCTGCCAGCATCCATCCCTAACATCTGACTCATAACATGCTGCTCATCCTCCCTAGAATTGGTATATAAAGCGGTGTTACCTACTTCTTCGTAAATATAAGGCTAATAGCTGGAAGATCAGCAAGGAGTTTGAGAAAGCTGTCATGCTGCCCAATATAAAGGATATAACTAGGTATTTCGATTTTGATTAACAGTTTCTAGAGCCCGCTGGAAAGAACCTTGCGGGACCCAAGTAACCTGCAAGCAATCGTCCTCAATATATGACTACTGCGCTCATCTCTACTATAAAAGGTGAACCGTTAAAGAAGGCCAGTGACAAACACTAGTAGCATATTCTATCGTTCAAAACTCACTCTTGTTGAATGTCATTAAGAGTGACTTTAAAGTGGACCGATCAGAAGCTCAGCAAGGAGTTCGAAAAGGTTCTGGTGCTGCCCAACATGGAGGACATACTGATTGACGTCATGACCCCCACGCCTGTGGACTACGAGTAGGATATGACTAGGTACGTAGATTTTGNGTGATAGGAATAGAGATATGCGATTTTTGGTTTTACAAAGGTAATATGATAGAAAATAACATAAAGTAATAAAAACTACCTGTTATAGGGGCATTTTTCAGATAAATTTATCATATAACCAAAAGTACATGAATTTAAAAGCAAATTTTTTTCAAAAAGTATTATTTTTTTATTATTTGTTGTCTTTTCCTGAGTATTTTATGTATTGTTTTACTATCGCCTGCTATTTAGCATTATTACTGTTTTTATTTTATCAGGATATACCTCTTAGTGTAAAAGGGCATTTCTACAGCACGGCGTATTTTTTCTCAATTCGGTGCTAAAATTTATATTTAGTTTTTTAAGTAGTTTCAATACAAAAAAATAAATTTTACTCCATTCTGAATGTAAAAATAGCATTGTCACCAAATATTGTGAAGTGGTTTATGAGAAAAGTTAAGCACCGAATTGAGAGAGCACCGAATTGAGAAATTGAATCACGGAATTGAGAAATGAATCTCCAAATATAAAAATCGCTCCGCAAACTTAGAATTGATGACATTATGAAGAAATACCTAATGTATTTCAATAATCAATATAANGGATATGACTAGGTACCTACATAGATTTATTTTTAATCCTTTCAGTCACACGTTTCTAGAGCCCCATTGGACTTTAAGGCCCAGTTTCCACCAAAGGTACTACGAGTAGGATATGACTAGGTATTTCGATTTTGATTAACAGTTTCTAGAGCCCGCTGGAAAGAACCCTGCTTGACCCAAGTAACCTGCCAGCAATGATCCCCAATATATGACTACTGCGCTCATCTCTACTATAAAAGGTGAACCGTTAAAGAAGGCCAGTGTCGAACACTAGTAGCATATTCTATCGTTCAAAACTCACTCTTGTTGAATGTCATTAAGAGTGACTTTAAAGTGGACCGAGCAGAAGCTCAGCAAGGAGTTCGAGAAGGTTCTGGTGCTGCCCAACATGGAGGACATACTGATTGACGTCATGACCCCCATGCCTGTTGACTACGAGTAGGATATGACTAGGTACGTAGATTTATTGATCCTTTCAGTCACACGTTTCTGGAGCCCCGTTGGACTTTAAGGCCCAGTTTCCACCAAAGGTACTACGAGTAGGATATGACTAGGTATTTCGATTTTGATTAACAGTTTCTAGAGCCCGCTGGAAAGAACCTTGCGGGACCCAAGTAACTTGCCAGCAATCGTCCTCAATATATGACTACTGCTCGTCTCTAGTATAAAAGGTATATTGACCTTGAAAGAAGGCTAATATGGGACACTAGTAGCCAGTTCTATCATTCAAAAGTCACTCTTGTTGAATGTCATTAAGTAAGAGTGACTTTAAAGTGGACCGATCAGAAGCTCAGCAAGGAGTTCGAAAAGGTTCTAGTGCTGCCCAACATGGAGGACATACTGATTGACGTCATGACCCCCACGCCTGTGGACTACGAGTAGGATATGACTAGGTACGTAGATTTTGAGCCTTTTGTAGCGTCCTGCTGGACCAACATAACCTGCCAGCACCCATCCCTAACATCTGACTCATAACATGCTGCTCACCCCCCCTAGAATAGGTATATAAAGCGGTGTTACCTACTTCTTCGTAAATATAAGGCTAATAGCTGGAAGATCAGCAAGGAGTTTGAGAAAGCTCTCATGCTGCCCAATATAAAGGATATGACTAGGTATGTCGATTTTGATTGAAGAGTTTCTAGAGCCCGCTGGAAAGAAACCTGCTGGAACCAAGTAACCTGTCAGCAATCGTCCTCAATATATGACTACTGCTCATCTCTAGTATAAAAGTTACATGGACCATGAAAGAAGGCTAGTATGGGACACTAGTAGTTCTATCATTCAAAACTCACTCTTATTGAATGTTATCTATAAGAGTGACTTCAAAAGTTAATCGTGGAGAAGCTCGCAAGGAGTTCGAGAAGGTTCTAGTGCTGCCCAACATGGAGGACATACTGATTGACGTCATGACCCCCACGCCTGTGGACTACGAGTAGGATATGACTAGGTACCTACATAGTTCGTTCGTTCGTTTCAGCCAAAAGACGTCCACTGCTGGACAAAGGCCTCCCCCAAGGATTTCCACAAAGACCGGTCCTGCGCCGCTTGCATCCAGGTACCTCCCGCGACCTTCACCAGATCGTCGGTCCACCTAGTGGGAGGCCTGCCCACGCTACGTCTTCCAGCTCGTGGTCGCCACTCAAGAACTTTCCTGCCCCAGCGGCCATCAGCTCTTCGAGCTATGTGCCCCGCCCACTGCCACTTGATTTTAGCGATTCTGCGGGCTATGTCAGTCACTCTGGATCTCCTACGGATCTCCTCATTTCTGATTCGATCACGCAGGGAAACTCCGAGCATAGCACGCTCCATCGCTCTTTGGGTGACCTTGAGCCTTCTTATGAGGCCCATAGTAAGCGACCACGTCTCAGATCCGTACACCATCACTGGCAACACACACTGGTCAAATACTTTATTTTACATAGATTTATTTTTAATCCTTTTAGTCACACGTTTCTAGAGCCCCATTGAACTTTAAGGCCCGGTTTCTAATAAAGGTGCGGCGTAGCTGGCTGATATTTTCTAGCAGCGGAGAGGAGACGAGACGAAAAGAGAAGAGATTTGAGTTCGAGTGTGCGTCATGACGGCCATTTTCATCGACCTTATAAGTAACATGTCATTGTGTGATTTTGTTTCTTGTAAAGTTAATAGCGCAACATCGGATTGACATGGCTACTAAAAGAAAACTTGTAACAGTCTTTTATTTTTGTTCAATTAATTCTGAGCCAATGAACAAGCATTGTCCGCTACAATCTTTATAAATAATCATTTTTTTCTTCAGGTGCAATATTAACGAAGCCGCTGAAAAAAGGGGCAGATTCTAGAGGAGGTACTAAAGAAATGCGACTGAACAGAATGAAGACAAGTTGAGTAATTATTTTGAGCACATTATAGTGCACTTTATAAATGTAGAATTTATTTATTTGACTGGACAAAACTTGCCAAATGTATTTTTGAACATCTAAAGTATTTTATTCGCCTTGATTTCGTTTAAATTGTTTATTGTATGGAAAAGTATGCGTTTCTGTCAATACTCTCTGCATTTAGGTTTAACTAGTAGATTTCCTGTGTGTTTTAGGTAGATTTGTAATTTATGTGCAACAATTACATTCAATGTATCAAAAACGCAACTAACCCTATATCATGAAGGATTTTTGAAATGGAGCAGTAAGGGCATTTACACTCGTAAACAAGTAAATGTCATAAAGAAACATCCCCTGACTTTTAGAGTTATTTTAACTCCATTCACTGATTGAAAATAAATTAAACAAAATGCCCTGTCTCAAAAATCCATTTTGTCTCACTGACCCACACTGGTTTATTTTACAAAAGACTTCTTGATCACAAATCGAGGTCATCCTGCGTAAACAAATGAGAAACGAAATTAGTGTAGCATTTATCTCTAGATGTATATTAGATATTATATTTGAATTCGGTGGCCCTCTTCAATCTGTGCTAACATAAATGACTAAAGAATATTGGATTGCTGACTGGTAAAATTCCCCTTCTCCTTGTTAAAGTAGCAAGTATACTTATTTTTAACTACCGGGTCGAATTCACGTCGATGTTGTATATTTATCATAGAACGCGTCTTCGTCAACTTAGTTGAACCCTATTTTTAGTCTCTGCCCTGTGTCATAGACACGACAAAATTATTTGCTAGGGAAGCTCCTAAAGAAATCGTATATATTTTTTGAGTGAAATTAAACCATTTTTATAATTGCGTAGTTGCTTTAATATTAATGTTTTTCATTTAGTTATTTTTCTACATAAGTGTGCTGGTGTATCTAAACGTATCCATTATTTTCTGTGATGTTCTGTTACACTCAGTAATTTTAGTTAAAAAAGTGCTTTTTCGTCTCAATTTTATTTTAATCTACGGGATTTATAAAATACCTGAGAAACGGCTGCACACAAGTTCGTAGAATCTTTTAGAGTATGATAATTATTAAAACTGCACTTTTTTTACTATGTTATAATTTTAAATGGTGCCTCAATGTTCACTTTTGCTTGTACAATTTTGTTTGTAACCGAACTTGTGTGTGGCGATTATGCGGTCGAGCTTCCTCTCGTAGTAATAAATGTTTTGACAATAATTCCGTCTTGACCTGTTATTTATGAAAAATCATCAAATTTTATAATAAAAAATAAATTTATAAACGTATCTTTAGATAATCTATATCAAAAATACTATTTTCACGTTATATTATGAAATCTTTGATATCGGCGAAATATGTTTTTGACTTTTTTTGAGACATCGAAGAGAGGTTTCCTAAATAGTATAAGATCCCGCTATACAACGACCTTCACCGAGATGCTTATTTGATGAAACATATTTTATATTCAATTTAACATGTCAATAATTATATTGCTTAAGGGTTGCCTAATAAATTTCAGTCCAGGATATGATTAATTAATCATTAAAAAAAGTTTTATTTTTAAATATTTCATCGGTTTGATTATTAAACAAACTCCATACCAATCGAAAGTATGAAGCCCATAGAATATGCAAACGTTAGGTTGCCTATTCTTTTCCAGTCATAACTCTCGGGTTGCCAGGTATAAACAGGTAAATTGATAGAGCATTTTGCATCGGTCTGATAATATAATCAAATATAAATGAAAATAAAGATTATTTCATTATGAACACGGTGGTATAGGGTTGCCTGCGAAAAATCAGTCCTGAATGACGGTTGTCGAATTTTGTAAAGTGAAATTAAAACTGAAAGGTGACATTTTTCGAGTAGTTGGCAACATTTGGGAAAGACGAGTTGTATGAGGCGTTTGTGTGTCTTGTCAAGAGGTGACCGTGTTCATAATGAAATAATCTTTATTTTCATTTATATTTGATTAAATTATCAGACCGATGCAAAATGCTCTATCAATTTACCTGTTTATACCTGGCAACCCGAGAGTTATGACTGGAAAAGAATAGGCAACCTAACGTTTGCATATTCTATGGGCTTCATACTTTCGATTGGTATGGAGTTTGTTTAATAATCAAACCGATGAAATATTTAAAAATAAAACTTTTTTTAATGATTAATTAATCATATCCTGGACTGAAATTTATTAGGCAACCCTTAAGCAATATAATTATTGACATGTTAAATTGAATATAAAATACGTTTCATCAAATAAGCATCTCGGTGAAGGTCGTTGTATAGCGGGATCTTAGACTAAAACTGTTGATAAGTTTGCATTTTGTTGTTCATACAAACTACGGTTAGTCAAAGGCATTTGTAGGGAATATAAAATAATTCAGTATAATTTTCTTCGATGGTGTTTAGGCTAGTTGGTATAAACATACGACACTGGATCGCACAACAATGTTGTAATTGGCTTTCACTTGTTTTCACTTGTATCGTTTGGGGTTTTCACTATATTTTACCATTAACTATTCAAAAGATAGTGATAGCTTATAATGTTTGTACCTATATTACTTTTAAACGGCTCCTTTTAGAGAGAGCGTACTGTGTATTTAGCACTATATTATATAAATAATTTGCTGTACATTCGTTGTTAATATTTAAACATGGTTGGTATTAGAGGCAGTAAGATGTACTAGGTTGCCAAATACATAAATTTGCCATTTATAGTATTACAAAAGGACGTGATTTAGTTTTCACTGTGTAAGCTTTGTTTTGATTCTGTAAAAATACTAATTAATGCAGATTGATGTTCTTTGCTTGTAATTTGTGCGTAGTTTTGCAAATGATACTTGGTTTCAGAGTCCAGAGGTTTAGTAATTCGTAATTGCCTAAAATACAAGAAAAGTTGACATAATGTAGATAGGAATTAGCAAACAAAAAACGCAATTGATTTAACATTGTGAATGTGTAAAGACAGAGTTATAAGGGACCTTAACAGGTTATATTAGCGACTTCATAACTTACTTCATAAGTTTTGGTGTCGCCAAATATTTTGCAGCTTCAACGTATGGTTGGTGTGGCAACACTGGCTTTATGAAAGCCAGGATAATCTGTATTGCCAGCTTAAGGTGATCTCTGTGATGTAAAAGGCTGAGTGTTGCTCACAAGCAATCAGGGTGTGTGTTGTGTGTACCTAAGTAAGATTGACTTGGCATGTGCTAACTGGAAACGAATTTATGTGTAACGAAGTATTGCATGTATAAAGGTATATGATACGTAGGCATGCTATATTAGTAAAAGACCGTAGAAATATCCAGGCATAATACCGGTCACGATATCGCACGCTACGTAGCTATGTCAATATACCTTAAACAGGAGATCTTATGTATCAACAAAATAGTATTTGTGAGCGAAGAAAGAGTCCAAATCCTAAAAAGCAGGCTATAAAGTTTACCGAAACGGCTTTTAAAGTTCATATTAGCTCTCTTCAGCTTTTTCGTCTGCTGTGGGGTGATGGTAAGAATAACTAATACTCGTACAGAATGGAAATTGTAAATTACATACCTCCTAGTAAACCCTTTTTAAGATAAAAACCTCTTTCACAATCTACTAGATCTATAGTAGTGCATTTTAATAACGGGTATGACGCGGGTGCTTCCTTCTACGGCGTTATTATGTATTCTTATGAGTGCGGTATGACTTAGTTGTTATTGTGCTTTTAGTATTATTTTGCAGTATATGATTTCATACCTAACACTGATGCTTAACTGAGCTTGTAAAGCCATTTTTATTTATGAATTACAGGTCTTTAGTAATTTTTTTGCTAATGTTCAAAGAATTATTCTGAACTACTTTGTTGCTCCAATATTATCAACTACTGATATTGGTGCATTTTGTTAAAATTTTACTTGTACAATAATAATGAACGACTTATATTCTGTACGTACGGTGTCTTATGAATTTTTTGGATCAATGTTAACTAGAAACTTACTATTAACCATTATTCCTGTTGTTGTAAGTCGGCATCGGTATCTCCACTGTAAAATGTACCATTTGAACTTCCTACATATCACGGTAAAGTACCTGTTGTAAATCATTTTTGGGTTTTGTACAACGTCTCAAGTTATCAAACTCGAAGCTATTAATATTCTAAATTCTATAGTTTCCCAGCTCTGGCCAGATTATAGTGCTTTAATATCCCGCTAGAGGCGCTTAACTTGACTACCTGGTGAACAGCACCTTTTGTAACAAAAACTTTTCACTAGAGATGAATTAAATTATTTAGCAAATCCCATTTATTCGTAAGAATTTTGTCTTTTGGCTATTCGAGATGATCTAATTTTTATGTTGTAGATGTTGTACAAAACCCTTATTATTACCAAATAAGTGCTGTCATGAATAGACGTAAATTCCGATCCATTCTACATTATTTCTTTTTTGTTAATTTCTTCTTTAGTTTATTGTTAAAATAAGTTTATTTACTTTTTTATTATCACCGACATAAGGAAATGTTAATTTATTTTATTTGTTCTTCGTTTATTTATTCTAGTTGTGATCACTTGGTGATTGAAACGTTCACATTGTACCAAAACTATGAAATCTATGTACATAGTCTATCAAATTATAAAGTGTTTATGTGATATTATGTATAGTTAAGAGTTAAACCGTGCCGAGTAGTTTTTCTATGTGGTATCAGTTGTGATTTTTCAATAAATGAACTGCTATAATATGACGTTTTTTTATTATTTCAATGTAAGGACCAAGAAATTTAAAAATAACATACACCATGATAAAGTTTTGAAACTATTTTATTTAACAATTTTACTTAGACAGTATATTTATATGTATATAAACACCATAAAAGTCAAATATCTATGTTATATACAATAGGCATTTCACAATATAATATACTCGTTGTATTCTATATCACATATTGACAACTATCAATAAACTTTGTACAAATATATTACTAAAATATTCACAATAAAATATACTATATTATATTCTGAGGTTCTCTATCACTTAGTTATAAAATGAGATATCCTCATAACAATATAATATTTGATTTGAAATTTGTAGAGTTCTTTTAGCCAATTTATTCTAAAATAGTATAGATTACCAGTTTTAACATTGAAAATATATTACTAAGCATTTATATGTATACTTTCTTTCTGGAAGCACATTAAAGAAGACATCGTAGGTCGGTAGCACCAAATCTGATAAACTTTATTATTACAATGTATAGTTTATACCATATTATTTGTTTTGAAATATTATTATGTAATACTGTTCAATATATGTAGGTATTACTTACAGAATATTTAGGTAAGATTGTTGGCTTAATGTTGATACTAAACTAATATGGCTATCACCATTGCGGTCTTAACATAATATGTACACAGTTGAGATCAACCTTATATCTACTTATATGAAGATCTTTATAGATTTTGGCACTCTGGACCACAATACTTTGTCATATAGATTTACAATAAAATATAAAAATTTCTCGATAAAAACTACGATTCTGTACATATTGCATTAAAGACAAGCAATTTCATGGCAAGCTACAAATACTAATTTGATGTTATGTATTTTATACAAAAAATAGGAATATTCAAAATCAAGAATCTGCTACCATTATTTGAGTATTTCTCAAAAAAAATGTACATTTTGAAAAAAAAAAGTGTGCTTTGAAACAGGTCAAAAGTTTTACATTTATAAATCATCACACAAAAAAAACACACACACAATTTTGAAGGATGGATATTAATCTTTAAGATAACGAAGAATTATAGCTATAATCCTACTTATTACCAAATATTTAGATATTTTAAAAATAGTCCTTTTTTTACCTTTCATACAAAAACCTGTTTGCCACCCTAGCTTTTTCATGTATTTTTGTTTCATAAAATGCGATACGTAACTAAATTATTGTAAATTTCTTTGTATTATCGTTCTACAGTAATCGCAGTTTCTGTATCAAATTGATTTTCTATGGGGTGTCATAATGAATTGGCAATTTAAAGCAAAAAAACAAAATGAGTCGCTCTCATTTACTATTTCGTTATTTACTCTTTAGTTACGATTTATTTCTACTTTCCCATGGTTTCTGAACAATTCCGTATTTATTTTTAACGGACAACAATAGCTGCACTCTGAATGGCTGTTGGCCTGACGTCTCCGCCATAACATCTATCGCGAAAATTAGTGAAAACGTGTGTGTTTTGTGGGATTACTTTTTCGTAACAGGCAGTAAAATCAGCGATTTTATATAGAACGGTAAGTCTTCATTTAACCATTTTTTGTAATACGTGTGGTACGAACATTTAGTAAGCTTTTATATTTGCTGTAACAAATTTTATCAAAAAAATACTTGTTTCTGATCTCATTTTGTCTAATATTTCGTTACGTTTTTTACGAATTTCGTTACGTTACGAAAAAGTACAACATAATGCTGAGTGTATACTGTTATTACCTGACTAAGCATAGTAATATTCACTACTTAATTTATTTCAAAAAATATAGAGCGTTAATAACAAAAGGATTGGATACTATCTGCTTTACAGAAGTGCCACCAGCAAAAAATTATCAAATCATTTAGATTACGTTTTTATGTGATTACTTCTTTTGTTTTTTTAGGAATGCCGCCAAAAACCAATGCCAAAAGGCAAAAAGCTTACAGAGAACGACTCAAAATGGATAAACATGATGGAACAAAAATAATTTTATTAAAATAGTATGAATGATTACTCCCTTATTTTATTTCTAACCCCTTAATATTACCCCGTATTTGGGTGCATACTTACAAATATTTCGAATTGAATAAATGAAGAGCATTCACAATATTTCGCCAATGTATAACAAGCCTTATGGCCTTACTATTTCGTTACTACCGTTTCGTTACGTACATTTTTTTGAGAAATACTCATTTAATGGTTACATAACACTGACTGAATTTTTATCTATTAACTTAGCTCTAATTGTTTTCATGAAGCATTTCGGCTTAAATCTTAAATACATACACTATCACAAGGAGTCAGCCAGCTATCCAACCTTGTTTGATTTTTGTGAATTCATTTCGAAGAATTTTAAAGAATTCTCTTTACAATCTTGGATCAATCACATTAAAATACCGGTCCAGCCGTCTAACTACCTGAGAAGGAAAACTGCAGCTAATGCATTATCTAAAGGTACACATCGAATGCCTGCAAACGACCGTTTTAGTACAAATGTCTTTAGCTTATACAGTTGTATTTCTAACCCAATAATGGGAGACTTCACAGAACACTCATGGGACCAGCAGCCGATTTCTCAGCGGGATTATAGACTATTATAAAACATAATATATTAACATCACATCGTCTCTTGGCATACGCAACGGCAACTTATGTTGACGAGCGATACCACAATATTGCGTAACTTCGTCGAGCCAGCCACGACCCAGCTGTTTAGCAATACAGTGTTCATTAAGCTATACGCATACGGTACTTGTTCTTCCTGGGCTGAATCTGGCACCAAAGTTGCACGTATGCGTTTATAAGAACACACCTGCCGAACTTTCGATGGGCGTAACGCGCACAATGTCCGTTGAATGCCACTCAAACAGTTGCTAACCAATTTTCAGCTGAAGTGTTGCTTCTTCAAAACTGCGAGTATATTCAGCCGACCTTTCAGCAGCTGTATACCTCGCTAGTGCTGCAGCAAGCAATGCGACGATCCCTCAGCAGTTCTCCGAGCCACTAACTCCTCCCAATCGCGCAGTCTCGGCGCGCATACAAGAGCATATCGGCCAAGACGGCGCCGCGCCATGACCAGGAACTCGCCGGCGCCGGCCGCCGCGCCGCACGCTGCGCCCACGTGCACGTGCGCGTGCAACGCGCGCGCCCGCCGTCTAGTGCGCTTGCGCGTCGTGCTGCGCTCTAAAGTGTTGTCTACTTCGTACCTGAAACAATTGATTTTTATTTTATATTTTACTGAAAAGTTCACAGACATAAGATTTCTCAAACAAATCATTTTTTAGATGCCTCTTCCTAAAGTTAACATACTCTTGGTTTCAATGTGTGACTATTCCAACTTAAAAGAAAATCCAAGAAACCTTTACCTACCGTGGCCCTGTGGTGACCACGGGCTGAAAAACGTAGCGTGGGCAGGCCTCCTACTAGGTGGACCGACGATCTGGTAAAGGTCGCGGGAAGAGCCTGGATGCGGGCAGCGCAGGACCGTTCATTGTGGAAAACCTTGGGGGAGGCCTTTGTCCAGCAGTGGACGTCATTTGGCTGAAACGGCCGTGGCCCTACATTATGTCAATGACATTTTGATTCAAATTCAAAATAGTTCCTCCTCATCTCTTCTAATAACTATGCCCTAAGCTACAGCTACTTATGCTCTAGGTACTTTTAAAGTTCAATAAGCAATCTTTTTTTTTTTGCATAACAAGGCAGGTATTTGACCGCAATCGCACCTGGTGTTAAGTGAGATGCAGTCTAGGTATTGACTGAAACGATTGAGTATTGATTGTTAAATGTAATTTTTTCCGTATTGCCTAACTACCTACTTCTGCTTAAGTTTCAGCATCATTATTACCTGAAGTATTCGCCGTCATCGTCCAAGTCATCCGAGTCCTTGTGTTCGTCAGACGCGCGCCCCGTAGCCCGGATCAGCTTGGTCAGCCGAACTGTCAGCTGCGTGGTGTCCAGGTCTTCACGCTGCTCGCTGCCCACGATCACGCCTCGGGACACTGCAGCAATGGAAAGGTATGTTAGTAAACCGTTGAAGAAAGTAACTTCAAGGTTACTCTATCTCGATCAACAAATAGGTACAACTTTTCTAGTTCAAGAATAGTTTTAAGCGTCGCTTTAGAGTGAAAACCTCGGGAATGCATTTTTTCTCATTTTTATGCATTTTCTGCATTTCGGTCAATCTTACAGAATAGAACAGTTCTGGATCTTCCTCCTGAAAAATTACTTAAGGCGTCGATAGAGTGACATGTTATCGATAGAGAAGAGATTATCTACCTCAAACCATACATTTTAATATTTTTAGGTCATTAGACTTATAGTACCTAGCTAATGTAGAGCGTAGAGTTTAAAGTAGTACCAGCCGGTACAATATTCTACCTTTTATAACATTAATTGAACTTTCTTAGATCCAAACTTTAACGAATCACTGTCGACAAAGCCAGTATTATAATAAAGAAATATTATTATCTTCCAGTGTAAACCGAGCGCATTCTGTCTTCTACAACAAAAGACTTAGTCCTAGCTCCGGTTATCAACCGTGCTGCCTTCAGGCTAAAATGACGTAATACTTAATACTTTGAGTACCAAAATACATCGGCGCAATTCGACATAGTAGATATAGATTTGTTAGAAGTATTAATCACTGTGTCGCCATTGTCCGCCGCTACATTTTTTGCTTCGGCGTGAGTAAGCGCAAATGTAGTAACTGCGTTTTTTCCAAAGCTTTTGTTTGAGCGAGATAAGTGAATAGTGCGGGCCTTTGGTAAACGGTCATCAACCCTACTCCGCCCAGAAAGCCTATAATTATGCCGAAGTTTGACTAACGATCTTGTCTATCCTACCTGAATGTTCTCACAATTTGTTTCTAGACGCAATTCTGACATGTCTTATTTAATTATTATTTTTTGCAGGTCTTAAATTTTATGGTTTAATTTTACGTACGTACGTTTAATTTTTTTATAAAGAAAGTTTACATCTACAGGAATCTACAGGAAATAAGTAATAATGTGTCCATCAGCAACATGATGGGTCCCTCAAAATCTCCAAGCTCGATTAGTAACGTGCATACAAAAAATGTCGGTAATTATTATATGGCATGACAAACTAAAATTTCAATGATACGTGACAGAGATGGTTAATACGGCAGAGGCGGCCGCCCGCCGACCCGCGGGCAACGCATCTCCGACTATTATCATTTATCAAACGAGAATAAAAAGCCCACATCTACTCCCCGCCGCGTCGCGTGCCGCCTCGCCATACTAGTTTGTCCAGTACTTATCGAGTTCAACTGTTATGCCCGTAAATTGAAACTAGACGAGCCCAGATTGGCGCTATCCCGTTGCGTACACAAAAGCTTCCGCAAGTCCGGTGCGCTTTGCAATTTTTAATGCGCTTCTAAGAAGCAAACTCACAACCGCTCTGCGGAACGAATCAAAAGAACGAAAACAGCTTTTTCACTTTATCACATTTAGATTTAACGAGGTAAATTCTGAATTTCTCCCGAATAACATGTTAACGCACGCCGCCGTTTACAAATATTCGTCGTTGTATGAGGGAATTATATTCTCGGGTAATAAGGCTTTAATTTAATTGCGGGAGAGAGGAATGTTGATTATGGCGACAAATTACGGTGCGGTGCGGCGCAAGAGTTGATTAACATTCAGCGCCCGCTTCTGCTAACTCATTACGCGGTGGTGCAATCCTGCCTCAAATGTAAGGGTAGAAACATATCACATCAGCCACTGTGTAATTAGCCCCACAATTGTCTCTACATGCCGTAATGTTTGTATTCTTGTTCGACAAGTTTATTCATCGATCAAATAATTATCGCAAGTGTTGATGTCACCTGCATCCAATTAAGTGCATAATTATGTACATACCTAAATCACTAGTGCAGAAAGCTAGCTCCAATTCAGCTTCTGAGCAGGGTCTGCAGTCAGCCGTGGCTGGGTCGTAGTGCCTCCTCACGAGCGGGCGGGCCTCGTACTTGAAGGTAGCCTCTCGCCTCTTGGTCCCTTCCTCTGGTTCGGCCTCTACGTACAAAGCAGCTCGGCCTTTTCTGCTGCGGAAGCATCGTAACTCCTTAGGATCGCCATCATCAGGCGCGTACAGGGGAACCAACTTGTGCGTGCCTTCCACGAACAAACGCGCCGGGAAGCGCTCGGCGACTCCTGAAAAAAAAGAACACTTTTATGAAGAAGGCTTCATTTAAATTTAACGGAAAATCGATTTGTAATGCTGTAAATAAGTAATGAATTCTTAATAAGGTAGTCCTGTCCTTGAAAGAAGTTTATCTGAAATCATTATAAGAAACGTTTTGGGTCGGCAGGGACATAAAAATACTCGCATATTACACGTTTTAAAACTCAATCTCGTTATCAGTACCTACCTGGAATTGGAGTTTACATTATTTTTAAACTAGATAGCGGTTAATATTCTTGTTATTCTCGCTTACAAACTTTAGATAAAAGATTTTCACAAAAGTCATCCTCTTGTTCCGACTGGTTTTATGATGGGGAGTTCCATCGGATAAGGTGTTGTGACGGTACGAGCAGTTTTTTATCGGTTACATCTCTTAAGAATAATCGTGTCCGTTAAATTTGAGCGAATATAAAATTCTTGAAACACGGATAAAAGGCTACGATTACGAAGGCGTCGTAACATAGATAGTGTAGTAGTTGTGAGATGATAGAACAGGCCGAGCGGGTCAGGCTGCCTGGGGACATGCACGCCCGTTCTGACCCAGCACATGTCACTATAGCTGTTAGATATTTCAGGGCATTATGGATAAAACTTTGTAGAACCCATACATGCCACCATATGCCCGAGGGGCTAAAATGACGACATGGTAATTTTAATATCTGGTTAAAATGTGTTTAGAAGGTATTCTGTTATTATTATGATATGAAACATGAACAACAACAACATGGCAATGTTGCCATATTAAACCATCACTATCTGCCCCCCCTAGACAAAATGCAAAATGTGACAGTTTTTATGTCGAAAGACGGTCGAAAAGTCTTTTTTTTGTATGGAGTTTTAACGGATTCGATTTTCCAAACTAAAGTGATACTTGTCTAGCTCTAGACCCAAGTAAAACGCTTTTAGCTAGCATTAAATTTGTTTGTGTATCAAGTAACGGTTTTAATATCGTTATTTCAAATTACAAACTCTCTAACCTGTATCATTCAGCCGCTCTGCATGAAACAAGTCGGGCGGGTCGGGCCGCCTGATGACTCGCACGCAGACCCTGAACTCGCGCTCGCCGGCCGGTAGCGAAGGCCTGAACAGCAGCCGCAGGGCTCCGCGAGGGTACACCCACGACACGCTGCCTTCTCTGCAGCGGAGGTACACTGGAGTCACTCCCCGCTCCGTGGTTGAGGTGAGACCACTGTGGACAAAGAGAAGTTAGGTTTAGAATGGATTAAAGAACTTAGATTCTTCATCATGATTATTTCAGCCATAGGACGTCCACTGCTGAACATAGGCCTCCCCCAATGATTTCCACAAAGACCGGTTGGTAGCGGCCTGCATCCAGCGCCTTCCTGCTACATACGGATTCTAATTTTGTTAAGTGCTGATTATTTAGGGCCCTTTACCTTATTCTAATCATGAGAGAGTACGAAAAAGTTACCGCAGTATTAAGTATTTACAACCAGTATTGGTTCCAGTACTACTAACAAAAAAGGCAATAAATTACACGTCGCTGCGTACGGTTATTTACTTAATTAATGTGATTATGTTTCTAGTTTGAGGCCCTTTCCATATATTACGGTCAGAAAGTAGTTTTAATCATATTTGGACAATCTGATTGGGACACTGCCGCTACCGAAGACATAAATTCGGAAAGAAAGCTTATTACGTATTCCTATCGCGCCCGTAGCGCCGCGCGCGCAGCCGCCGCGGAACATTTCCCATTAAAATTATTAAAAATTTCTTATACTGCCACCGCTTTTTGACCACACTCATCCATTCTCGGACGCCCGCCGTGATTATGTATGAAAACAGCAAGGTTTATACGTAATCTTTAATTCAATCACCAAAATACCTGTTACCTTAAAAGTAATTCAATTTGTATAATAAATCACATTCAAACACTGTGATGAGAAACTTTGGAGGTTTGCGTATTTCTCATCAATATTTAACACCAATAAAATGGTTTGCCTAAAATAACTCGTTTTTAAATCGAATACCTACGTTAAATCCATAGCTGGGCATTAACTCGTTAATCCGTTAATCGTTAATTAACGAAGTTAACATTTCTATTAACGGATTAACTTTTAAGTTAACTTTAAAAAATGTTAACGGACTCGTTAACTTCCGTTAAATTATCCTAAGTCCGTTAATCGTTAATCCAGTACCTACTATTTACCAAAAAGATACAGCAGGCACGCTGAAAACGCTAGAAAAACGCGTTCTGACAAGTACGTTCAGGCTTCCAGAACTTCCAGAACCCAAAACAACAGTTTTTGTAACCAGATCACTAACGACACTTGTTTGTATGTGTGGGACAACTCTTGCAACTGAATTTAAGACCAGTTTTCCTCAACCAATTGAGCTGAAATTTGGTATACTTAATGTAAGTACGATGACGATGCAAAGTTATGGTACCATTGAGCTGGTTCATACTCCATCATCAGTCATGAGGTGGCCATAGGAACTCCTAAATGAAACGGCGGCATCGCATCGAATTTGGGTCGTTGGATTTGTCTTTTCGAGCACTTTAGTACTAGATGATGTCCAGGGTCCTGATGATGGAGTCAGGAGGTGGCCATAGGAAACTGTGGAAACTTATCGAGTTTGGGTTTGCAGGTTTTGTCTTTTCGAGCACTTTGGTGCTAAATTGTACGAGCCCCGATGCAAAATAGTTCGTCTAGTATGAAAAATAAGATAATTATGTAATAATGTGAAGTGAATTTGGGTAAAGTAATTAGGAAAGTTAAGAACTAAGTAAACCACAATTTGAGTAACATTCCAAAGTTTATTTTAACGTATCTCAAAATCTTTCATGACCTTACATAACATAAATAAATAAAAAAATATACTGAAACACATGACGCAAAAATGTTCGTCTACCATTGGCTCTCACGCAAAATAGTTCGTCTACCACTTAGTTCTGTCGCCTTTGCTTTCAATTACAGCTTTAATGCGAAGAGGTATGGTCGCAACCAACGCTGCACTCTCGTTGGTCGTAATTGACTCCCACACAGCCAAGAGTTTAGCCTTCAAGTCGGTCTTCGATCTTGATGGATTTTTGCGAAGGACTTTCTTCATTTTCCACCATAGGGTCTCAATCGGCGATAAGTCCGGGCTGTTAGATGACCATTCGATGGTTGGGATGTTCTTTGACGGCAGCCATGTCTTTGTTGTCGTTGTAGTATGTCAGGAAGCACCGTTTTGTTGAAAAATGAAAGAATCTTGATGTTTGAGTAACGGAATGGAGGGCAATACACTTTCTGCCAAAATAGTTTGGTATCTTGTTGCATTGATGGAACCATCCACAAACTGCATTCCACCAACACCTTGTACAGACATGCAGCCCCAACTCATAAGAGACGCTGGAAACTTAACTTTTCGTTCAATGCAATCGGTATGAAATGCTTCATGTTTATTTCGAACCACTTTTTATCTTCCATCGCCGACTGTGACTTCAAATTTGGACTCGTCACTCCATATGATACTACGCCACTGATCAGAAGTCCAATTTAAGTGATCACGAACAAACTTCAATTTCTTTTTCTTTTGTAAAGCAGTCCATAGTGGTTTCTCCTTAGCTGTGTAAAATTCGTAGCCCATTCTTTTCAACACTCTTTGCAGGTATCAACTGAGACATCTTTGTCAATCATGTCTCCATTGCACTGTGACTTCTCCAGCTCGAGCACGACGATTTTTTTTGACAATTTTCTTAAGAATTCTGTTTTCTGTTTCACTCTTTAATTTCGAAAGCTTGTAGCGCACACATAAAAGAGGAATAAATTCCATGCGCGATACAAGCTTTCGAAATTATTTGAACCTTACATACTTATTTTTTTCGTTTTATTATCATGTGTTAACGGATTAACGATTAACGTTAACTTGCGTTAAATCTTGCGAAATGTAACGTTTTAACGTTTAACGAAGTTAATTTTTTTATTAACGGTTTAACGATTAACGAAGTTAACTATTTGATTAACGGTGCCCAGCTATGGTTAAATCAACAATGCGTGAGGTGTAAATTGCGTTCCCTGTTAGACGTTCGGAGCTAAGCCATCATTACGTAGAGCGAGCTTAAGGGTATAAAATCTAGATCGAAAGCTGGCCCAAGGAGCGGGCGAGATTACGGCCAGCGAAGTGTCATTTCTCGTTGATATCTCACAAGTGGTACCATAAACAAGCCGCGAGCGGACAATGCTATCTCCCATCAGTGGCACGTGGGCCGCAATACTGGAGTAGCGCCCACGCTCGCCCACAGCCGCGATCACAAGCGCGCCATAAAACTAAAATATACGACGGTGCACACTATAAAAGATGCCACGTTAAGATTTTACATGGCCCGATGGCGGTGCAATAAAAGCACGACAATGCCTTTATGTAAAGCTCATTGTCTGTGTGGCCGCGCCCTCGTGACGGATGACACTCGTTGCATGCGCGCGCACGCACCACACAGCCTCCTCCAGGAACCTCTGCCTAAGAGCCACGATTTAAGTACTTTAAGCCAAAGTATTAAATTTCAGTACAAAAGACTTAAACGTCGTCTTGCTAATAAAAATATCATATTTTTTACCGCCTCGATCCAAGTTCGTAAAGAACCCTTTTAAATTTTAATGGGATGTTGTTCTTTTCTGCGCCAATGTTATTATTGCATTCCAGTTGCATAAAACCGCAACCATTTACGATTTCATAGCTTTCTAAAAGCCGCTACAACGTCCCTTTTATTACAACACTTTCTTCGATCCACTGTGATTTTACAAAGCGCGTGCGTCTGTCCATATCGAATTACGAGTATAAAGTGTAAAGACTTGATTTATTGCCCGTCAATTTATGAATAATTTCTTTAAATACTTTTGGAATGTCATATCCTCCTTTCCCGTCATCGAGGGGCTTCCTTAATCCCTCTAATGGGTCGAATGTTGAAATATGTGCGCTGTAAATTAAGAACTAATAGCAACAAGTGTGGCATGGCCATCGAGCTCAGTCGCACACGTGATTTCACCCCAAACTCAGGGTTGAACAAATATTAATAGTGTGTCAATAAAATTATTTTTATTTTCCCTTGAATTTAATCTAGTTTCAGATAGATTGCGGAAAGAGAACTGCTACTTATATGTAATTAAGTTTAATAAGCTTGTGTTTTCTTAGATATTATTAGATAGTGACGATGTTAATTTAACTCGAACGGTATACTTGTTCTAGTTACCTAACTGCATTTTAATATCAAGCAAGTCATGCAGTTTATGTTTTGGTTCAAATATTTTCTACTATCTAAACAAGACATTAACTTTTATCGTTATTATCTTTCAATATTTACATTCCAATAACGTACCATGTACCATCCCTTAACGCTCACCCTATCGCGTTAAAACAAATACAAAAACAACACGACATAAAAACCACGTAAGGTAGATTTTTTGTTACCAAACACACACGTAAAAACACCATAGAACGATAACTGTACTGGAACGAGTTGTACCTCATTTATTTTCTGTTTCTGGCCGTAAAATATTGCGTTCGTAATGGTGTTGCGTGATTGTGATTAATTGTATTTGGTACTAATACACTAAATTATTCATGAAGTTAATATATCAAACATAAATAATTTATACAATCTTGTTTGTCATTTCAATCTTAGGCAGTAGAAGTGTCTCTCATTTCCTAGTTAACATCGGTAGTCGGTACTTGGGCACTGCTATAATGACTAGGTAAACTCGATTTAAATTCAAGGTAAATACTAATATGCATTAGACCAAATGACAGGATTGGTCATGTTTTTGAATGTAGAGTTATTATGACTCTACATTAAGTTATTAATTAATAATTAACTATAGTGTTGTTTAAGAAAAGTTCATTCAATCTTAAATAATTTTAAAGCTTAGTTGAATTTCGGATACATACCTCAAAGCGTGTGTGTATTATTAAGATGCTGTGAAGTAAAAAGTCGATGTATCTACCATCTTATCCATTTACAGAATAAAATGCTCAGGCACATTATCATCAGCCGATTCAAATCGAAGCTATTCCCGGTCATTACAAGCAAATGACGCGATACCGAACTAAAAGCTGCTAATGCATTTCGGAGTCATTCCTCGAAATGGTCGCGTCTCTCTCGCACACGTTGACCCTAGCACAGCCTTATCTCTTTCCAATAACTCAAAAGAATCACAATCGAAATGAAGTCACGCGCGGGACCAAATT